CAGCACTTCAAATAAATGAGGCAACCAGGAAAATGGCAAAGAGGCACAATAAATCATTTACAAAAGATGAGTATCTGGAGAGTCATCCAAATTGCTGCATGTATCAGTAGTTTGCTCCTCTTTATTGCTGATTACTATTTAAGTTGGTTATAATTTTTGGTTACTTATTTTGTAAAACAATTGTTACATATCTACATTGGGAAATAAAACTAGGAAGATGTACACAAAAGTAAAAATAACCATCTTTTATCTTTTAGGAATACTTTTTCCCCCCTCTAAACATTTCTTTATTGTTATGTATTATTTTTAAAGGAATAAAAATATCATTTGAGTGAGGAAGCTCTTATAAAATTACATTTGTCAAAACCCAACACTTTAATAAGAACAGAGGTTTCTGCCTTATTATCATATAACACCCACTCACCGCCAGGAATGATGTTTGTTGAAGTGGACACTCTCAATTCACTGCAAACTCAAGTCCATCTCTACAATTTGTTTTTATTGTCACACAATATAAAAAATCTGTTTCACATGAGAATATTTCACCAAAGGGAAGAAGAAGAAAAACTGGTGGTTTTTCAATATTCAGGTATTTATGAGTTAGAGAACACTAAAAATTACTTGGCTAAATTAAGATTTGTTTTACCTGACATTGAAATAGCCCTTCTATCAGAACCTCCAAATCCTACCCTTCTCACACAGCTGGTATGACTAACTACAAGGGTAGCACAAATACACATATTCTTCTTGTTTCCTAGGTAGAAATGCTTTAGCAGAGTAGTGTGCAAATCCTTAGACTATACAATGACATTGAAAACATCTTTAGCAACTGAAGAATTAATTTTAACCACAGTTATTGAGTACAAGAAAATTGTTCTCTGTTGTGGTCAAGGTGCAAAACTTGTTCTCTTAGTTATGTTTGCTTTTTTAAAGCAGTGAAATTCACTATTCTTTCTTAAAAGCTGTTTCTCTCACTGAACCTCATAAAAATATCTGCAGTGTTTTACTAACTGTACTCCCTGAGGTAAGGACAAATAAATTTATGAATAGGATACTACAGGTTCTTAGCAGAGATATAGAAACCATAGCCAGTTAGAAAATTAAGAATTGAAAAATATAATATCTGAAATATTAAAATTTCCTGGGTGGGCTCAGTAACAGAAATGGATATAAAAGAGACAAAAGTTAGTGAACTAGAAGGCAGATCAATAGAAATTATCTGGTATGAGAGATAAATAAGATTAAAAACAATGGACAAAGCCTTAAAGACAGGTAGGACAATATCAAAATGTCTGACATTCTTGTCATTGGATTCCCAGAAAAGGAGAAAGAAATTGGGATACAAAAATATTTGAAGAAATAATTGCTGAAAACTTCCCAAACTTAGCAAAATATATACAGTTTCAAATTCAAGAACTCAACATACCTAGGTAGAATAAACTCAGAAAAAATACCTACACACATCATAAATCACTGAAAGAAAAAACGTTAAATATGGAAGTAATCTAGAGAAAAATGACAAATTACATATGGGGGGAATCTATTTGAATGACCATAGGTGGAGCCTAAGGAGAGCAGAAAAGCATCTCTAAAATCATAGTGAAAAAAACTTATTAACCCAGAATTCTGTAACCAGCTAACATATCCCTTAGGAACAAAAACAAAATAAAAATACCCTCAAAGGAAGAGACGCTAAGAGAATCTGTCACCAGCAGACCTGCTCTAAAAGAAATGCTAAAGGAAGTTATAAAGGAAGGATAAAGGGAAATAATACCAGAAGGAAATATGAATTTTTAGGAATGAAAGAAAAGGAATAGAAATGTGTGAGTAAATATAAAAGACTGTTCTTCCACTTAAATTCTCTAAAATACATAGAACGGTTGAAAGCAAATATTAAAAAATTATCTGAAGGGGTTTCCATATATATAAACATAATATATATACCAATTATGACATAAAAGTCAATGAGTGGGGAGAGAGGACCTATATGACTGCAAAGTGTCTTTCTACAATTTACCTGAAGTGATATATTACTAACACTCAGTAGACTGTGAAAGTTTGTGTAGGTATATTATAAGCCATAGAGCAAATACAAAAGAGAGAAAAATGACCAAAAAGACAATATATAAATTAAAATGTAAAATTAAAAATATTCAAATAATTCAAAAGAATGCAGAAAAGTAGAAACAGAAAAAAACATAAAGGAACCAACAGAAAACAATAAAATGGCAGGCCAAATCCAACCATATCTATAATTACATTAAATGTAAATCACCTAAACATAGCAACTGAAAAAAGATATAGTCAGATTGAAACAATTTTAAAAAGAAAAAAAATAGCCCCAACTATGTGTTGTCTACAAATATAACAACATAGATGAATAAAAAGAGAGACCCAACATATATCATGGGAACACTAATGAAAAGAAAGCTGGAGTGACTGTATTAATATCAGACAAAATAGATTTCAGAACAAGGCTATTACGAGGGACAAAGAGACATAGTACATACAGTTAAAAAGAGTCAATTCATCAAAAAAACATAATTCTAATTGTGTGTCCTAACAATTCATCAAAAAAACATAATTCTAATTGTGTGTCCTAACAGCAGAGCTTCAAAATATGCAATATACAGCAAAAATACATAGAAGTGAAAGGAGAAATAGACAAATCCACAATTGTGCCAGGAGACATCAATGCTCCTCTCCCTGGTAGTCAGGATAGAACTGGTAGAGTCAGGATACAGAAGATCTAACAGCATTATAAACCAACCTGATATAATTGATGTTTATAGAACATTCCACCCAATGACACACATAAAATGATCTTTTATAAGTGCAAATGGCACACTCAGTAAGATATTTGAGGGCAAAACAAACTTATCAAATTGAAAAGAACTTAAATTTTGTTTTCTGACCATAATTGAATCAAAAAGTGCTATACAGTAGATCACTTTGTTATCCCTTGGTGTATTTTCACTGTTGAACTTGGCAATTTTATACATTCAGGGTACATTGATGCATGCCAAACTGATTCTTCTTTTCAAGTGACTTCAAAGCTCAGCAATGACTTAAGTGCTGTTAGAGAATATTTTGGTCCACATTGCACATTTGAATATTAGTTATCTTTATTTTCAATGGAAATAAATCCAAAAGGTAAGTAGCTGTTACCATATTTTCAATGTGTTAGGATAGAATAATTGTTTCATCTTGGACATTTCACCTCCTAACTTTGAAAAACTTAGAATACAATTCTTAAATTCTGAAGAATTCCATTTTTCACTTGATTGACAGTCTGAGAACTACTATTTCAACTTTTCCTTTAAAACATTCTTTCTACAGCCACAGGACACTTGAGCAATGAGTTTTGTCATACAGATGTCTAATATACTGTATACACTGAAAAACAATGCAAATGCTTTTAAAAGCAAGATAAAACACATGATAGATCAGTGGTCATCAAATAAATCAAATGCATCAACTGAGAATTGGGCAATAAATGCTACTCCTGCAAAGTGAATAGTCACGCATTCAAGTACCAGGTATGGCATTTTCTGCTATGATACATGATTTCTTAAGTGCCGATCATCACATAAAAATTATACATTGCAATTTACATTTTCTTATTTAAACAAATTTTAGAAGGAAAAATATACCTAGCAAAGATTACCTATTAATATTTCACAAAACTCTGTGTCTGGAAACATAGTTTTGGAAATGCTGCCTTAAGGTTTACTTTGACTCCTGATTCAACGTTGTTTGCTTCCTCTCCCCGTCCCCTTGCCCCCTCCCTTAAATTCCCTGCTCTGGAGTAAATAACATCATGTCCTGAAACTACCGGGAAAAAACCCTGGTTCAAGAGAAATATTTAGAAACATACACCTCTGGAATGTGAGATGAAAACCAGAGCTTAAGAAAAGAGAAAGAAAACAAGAAATAGTCAAATGAAAGTATGAAAACATAAAGGAATGAATCTCATTTACGATTGCGTACGGACGTGTGATGTTAGAGCAAAAATTGGTTATTGGTCAGGTTTTTGCCCTTGGATGACAAATGAGACTATAACCTCTCTAGGGTGGGTCACTTCCAAGACCTAAAAATTCAAGAAAGAACGAATGTTTGAGGGCTTGTATTGCAGACTTCAATGACTTTCCGAGCCTTTTCAATACAATGAAAGACCACCAGGGGGAGAAACGCGAAGAACACTGGACCTTTATAAGAACCGTGATCTCAAAAGGCAACAGATCCCATTATTCTTAAGGAAAGGGGTGGGGGGAGTGGGAGGGTGGATAGCAAACTGCACCAAAGCTTGAATCTCATCTATAGCTAAGAGAGCTTTTCTGAAGTCTCCGTGGGCACCACGCGAAAAAAGGTCTTCTTCTCAAGTCAGAACTGAATCCTACAAGCTGACTCAAATCTGAATTTTAAAACATTGCAAAAGGTCTCCCCGGAGTGAGTCAGGATTGCAGAGGGGGGTGGCAGTGTATTACTCTTCCGATTTGGGATATAACTTAACTTTACATTGGCAGAATGACACGCACCAACGCTTCCTAAAGTGCCTTCTTTCTAGTACCCATAACCATTTCGGGTTCGCCACTGACAACAGCGGTGAACCAAGGCCCCTTCTCTCGCCCCCACACAAGAGGAAATCACATTTCCTCTGTGGGCGTATAAGTGAAAGAACTTACTCGATCCCAATACTCCTGTATCTCTACCCTAGCCGGCTAGTGCCCGTGGAAACAGATACACAACACATATGCCATCCTAGGATGACACAACATCCTCACTGCTGCAAAACACGGAGCATAAACACACCCGCTCCAGAAAAGAACCCCTCCACCACACGAACTTCGGGCGGAAAAACAAGGCGCAAGCGCACTGCCAAACTGTTACCCGATTTGCCCACTTCCCCCTCCCGGTCTCAGCAATTTCACTTCCCCTCCTTTGCGCATCTGCTTCCGGGGTATTGTAGGCTCAGCCCCTCCTCAGTTCTTACCCTCCTCTACCCGAGGAGGGGGGGGGAGTCGAGGGGGTGGGGAAGAGTTCGTTGTTTGTTTACACGATGTGAGCGGAAAAAGAGACCAATAAAGTTTATTCTGGAAACAAAAGGAAAAAAAACAGGGTGACAGAGAAAGGAGACGGGGGCGGGGGCGTGTGGCGAGGGCTAGAGAGAAGAGGGAGCTAGAAGGAGAAAGCGGCAGTTCCGGTGCCGCCGCTGCGGCCGCTGAGGTCTTGGGCTGCTGCTGCCGCGGCCGCTGGGGCTGGGGCCGCCGGCGAGGCAGGGCTCGGGCCCGGCCGGGCAGCTCCGGAGCGGCGGGGGAGAGGGGCCGGGAGGCGGGGGCCGTGCCGCCCGCTCTCCTCTCCCTCGGCGCCGCCGCCGCCGCCGCCGCCGCCCGCGGGGCTGGGACCCGATGCGGTTAGAGCCGCGGAACCTGGAGGAGACCCGAGCGTGAGTAGAGCGCGGACTGGCCGGGAGCGGGCGCGGCCGGGCTGGGAATGGGGTGGGTGTGGGGGCCTCTCCGGCGCGCCCGTGGTTATTGGGCGGGGGCTACCCACGGGTCGTCTCTCAGGGTCGGCCCGCTGCAGACTTCGGCTATGATCGCCGCTCCCTGTTCCCCGCCTGCCGCTGGCCTCACCCAGATGCAGAGGCGAGAGCTAGCCGTTTACTCTCCTTTCCCCCTGGCCGCCGCCTCGCTCCTGGTTTCCTTCCTCTCTCATTTTTGGGGATGGGGTGGCTGGAATCTGAGGAAGTGCACCCAGGGCCGCCGCCCCGGTGGCAGTAGCTCGGTGCCCCGCACCCTTGCACGCCCACCGGGCCCGCGGGTGGCCGGGCTGCCGCGACCACCGCGGCGTGAGGGATCCTGACGGAGCCGCGGGCTGTTCCATAGGGGCTGTCATGCCCCAGGACTCCTGCCCTGCCAGCCCGACGACCCTGCGTTTGTCTCACGCTGAGTTTAAATCGCCCGGCTGGGGCAGGGAAGGAAGACCGCTCCCCCCACCCCGCAGTTCCCCTCCCACCCTTCCTCTCTAGGGTTTTTGTTTTGTTTTGTTTTGTTTTTCCCCTTTTAACCGAGACAGTCAAACATATTGGATCTTTCATTCATAGACCCTAGACATTGTCTCGTGATTTGTGTCTTTACTAAGTCTATTATGTGATGCCCGTTTCCTAGCTCCTAAGTGGTTCAGAAAGGTAGGGTACGCCCAGCATTGGACTATGTAAACACCAGACGTTCAGCCTGTGTTTTGACCGCGGCTTGAGGGGTTTATTTTAGGATGCTAAAGGAATAGTGGTGATGGTGGCTAGTTCCCAGACTTAGGAATCGAAAGCTATTTCTTAGATGAGGAACTGTTTACATAGTTCTACGAAGGGTAAGGGAGCGCAACAAGAGGGGGGCTTTGAGGAAAACAGCTCGTGTATTCTTTAATGAATTAGAGTTGTGATTTCGTTTTAGAAAAAGCTTCCTCATTCCAGCGCCTTTGTGCACATTCGGCACATGAGTTTGCAATATAATGTTTTGAATCTATTTTGTGAGGCCCTGGAGAACCCCTCGAAAACTTGGGTAGATAAACTGCTGGTAACTCAAGTCGGATGATTTCAGTGGCCCCATTTGAACCACTGCAGGCAGTATTGGTCGCAGGCTCTCCTCCTTAGATAATAGATTCTTGGGGGCATTTGCTTACAAATTTGCTTTTATGATGGATTGTGTGATGTTGAGAAGAGAAAAAACCTTAAGATACCATGTTGCTAATTTAAATTGGATAAATCAATATTTTATGTCTTTATTAAGAGGCCCTTGAAGCAACTGCAGTGTAAGAATTTGTTAGTATGTCTGTGTATTCAAGTTTTAAGATTTTTTAACTGAAGTGTTGAATTCTGGTTGACAGCATAGATCTCTAGATAAACATCACATGTTATGGAAAATTTTAATTATCAGATTAACTGTTCTGCAGTGTCATCAACCAAAATTATCTGAGGAGGGCCCAGTAGGGTGTGTGTGTGTGTGTGTGTGTGTGTGTGTTGGTGCTTGTTTTGTTTTTTTTTTTTTTCTTGTCTCATGTTTTGGGATAAAATTAAATAAAATGACATCTATAACTTTTTTCAAAAGTTTCTTGTGCATTTTTCATCTCTGTAAAATAGAGTCCTTTTCTTCACAAACTAGGTGGTTGAAAGAAATGATAGCACATCGTAATAGTAATAACTCCATGGAGGAAATACCAAGAAAGTAAATGAATATTAACTTAATATTCAATTGACTGTGAGAATAAAGTTTGAAAGGCATTTCTGTCAGTTTTAATTGAAGAATTAAAAATGAACCACATGTAAATGCAGAATGTGTTTTATATAAAGTTTTTAAATTTTAAGTAAATTGGATATAGCATGAAAGATGTCACTGGATACAGTACTGTACTTGAACTGAAAGATTACTGCAGGAATGTGTCATGGGGCTGGATATATGTAAAAGGGAGACTAAAAGAACAGTGACTTTGCCTGGCTCTGTGTATGGAACAGTCCTTCTGGAGGCAGAGCTTCCTTCCTGTCAGGATAAGATCCTCTCCATCCCAAATAAGTATTCCCTTTGAAAAAAAAAAAAAAAAAACAAAAAAAAAAAACTAAACTAAACTAAATTTATAAATAAAATACTTGCATAAGAACATAGATCATAATAACTTTTTCCTAAAACAGTTTACCTTGTGTGTAGCTTTCCTGATTAGAGCCCTTTACTGAACAAAGAGTTGTAACATTTGTTGTTACCATTAAAGGGCATTTGCTCTGTTGATCTGTTTATTTGCAAAGAGCTAACTTAATCCCAGTTGATCTCTTTAGTAACCAGAGTAGCATTAAAAAGATCAGTTCTCTATTTTATTATTTTAATATCTTGAATTCCAAGGTAGCTGTGATTCCTTAAGTGAAATGTGTTCCTTAAGCATCATAAAAGATCTCATCTTTGGTAAAAATATTTATGATCCTTAAAATTGTGCAATTTTAGCAGCATAAATCATGGAATATTTTGGTTTATATTTTATTAGCAGAGTTATCAAGCTGTTTTCTTAAGTGTTGTCTTGAGTTACAGCAGTCCTGTAGGCAGGTAGTATTACTGCCTCTGAGAAATGATATTTTAGTCTAAGGTCATACAGGTGTCAGGTAACAGACTCATTGACAAAACCAGTGTTTTCTGACTCATTTTACTATATCAAGCTACCTCTAACCTGCTTCATTCTGCTTTTTAATAGCCAAACTAAGGCCTAGAGAAGTTAATTACTTAAGATCACTTTTTTCTTTATTTCCAGTAAAAATATATATTTTAAATTCCCTATATTGCTTAAACAGTAGTTTTCAATCCTGGCTACACATTAGAATCATCTAGTTAGCTTTTTAAAAAGTACCAGTACCAGGGGCTCATTCCCAGAGATTCCAATTTAATTGGTCTGAGATAGGGCCCAGACATCTGTGATTTGTTTGTTTGTTTTAAAGTTCCCCAGGTAATAGTAATAGACAAGATTATAAAGCCCTTTCTTTCAAGGACCTGTATGATTTGGTCCTTGCTTGTCTCTAGGTTCTTTTCTCTCCCACACCTTCCTTGGCCTTTCCCTGATCTCTTGTGCAAATGCTCTTCCTGAAGTATTTGCGTACTCCATACCTCTTCCTTAACTAGCTGACTCCTACTTGTTTTTCATAACCACCTCCTTTGAAAAGTCTAGTCTGAGTTAAGTATCCCTGCTTCCTGTTCCCATAGCATTTTGTATTCCCACTGTCATAGCATTGATTCACTGCATTATAATTGCCTATTTATTTCTCTGTATCCTCCACCAGGATATAAATTCCATGGGAAGGATAGGGAATCCTTCTATTTTATATACAGTTGTATTCTTATTGCCAAGCACAGTAGCCAGTACATAATAGGCACTTATTAACTAAATAAATAAATATATTGGCATCTTTATAATATATATATTAATACATCTTTACAACATGTATTAATTTACAAACATCAATTAAGTTTTTATTCCTGCCAAAAACATTTAATATATTTGGTCACTAAGAATGTATATCCCTGAACTTGCCACACATATAATTTTATTTGGAGACAGGCAAGACATTATAAATTATATATAAATTATACCAAGCATGACTCAACCCCAAACACACACACAAGCAATAATAAGGATCATTATTATGCACAGAACTGCACTGGAAATCAGGAGACTTGAATTCAAATCCCTGTTTCACCACAAGCATTAGGTCCTTAGGTAAATCTCAATCTTTTAGGGTCTCTGTTTACTCTTCTGCAATACAGAGAGATTGTACAAACTGCTCTACATGCTACTCAGTGGTCTAGCCTTAAAATCTAATGAGTACTAAAAATAATGGCTTTGGAATCTGAGGCTCCTTGGTTCAGTACCTGGCTGTTAAAGTTACTGGCAGGATTACTTTGGACAGATTTCCTAATCTGCATAATGGTAGTAGTTACTATTCAGTGGAGTTGTTATTGTTGAATTAAATGAAATATAGATCCAAGACAGTTTTTGTCCTGTCTCACATTGTATCAAATGTTCATTTCCTTTCCCCTTAGGAGGTGTTAGATCTCACGAGTGGACTTATCTGAGGTAACAGAAAGACATAGTTCATGTAATCCTCTTTGCCACTTTGCTAACTGCTAGCATTACAGGTGTGACTAGGGACCAAAACCAGTGTGGCTTTTAGTTTCATTTTCTTAGAACCACATTGCACTGTCAAACACTCAGGTGTTAGTCCACCTACTTGGGAAGTAATTGTGCCTAGAACTTTCAACCATGACAAGGTATCAATACATCTGTAATAAATAATATGAAGGAAGAGAGAGTCTAGTGACCTTAAACTATCTCCAAAGCTAAGTGAAATCAGACTTGACAATTCCAAAAGAAAGGGACAAATTAAAACTAAGGGTGATTTATAAAAGAAGACCAGAAATTTGGTGAAATTTCTATTCACCAAAGCTAAAATTCAGGGACCATTATTTAGTAATTTCTAGGAGATATAGAAAATATACCTCTGGTCAGGACCAACTCCAGAAGATAAAATTGCTCTTGATGTCAGATTAGCAATTACAGATATCAACAGACCAAAATTATTGATATTTTCCATATTGATATTGATATTTTACTCTATTTAAATATACAGTTATTTTAGTCTCTATTTAGTAATAAAGAGTAACCTTACATGTGGTGTAATAATACCTATTTGCTGAAGTTTCTTGATACCAATTTTATTTTCATATAAATCAAATTGGTGTGCCTGAGTTTTCCCTTAAGTTTATGTTTAAAGCGAATTTTAAGATGCCTGGGTAGCTCAGTCAGTTAAGCATCTGCCTTCAGCTCAGGTCATGATCCCAGGATTCTGGGATTGAGTCCCACATGGGGCTCCCTGCTCAACAGGGAGTCTGCTTCTCCCTCTCCCTTCTCCCCTCCTCC